TATTTCCATATTTGTTTTCTTTATTTTATTTTTATTTAATTTCTTTTGATTTTATTTTTTAAGTTATTTTATTTTATTTTATCTTTATCTTATTTTATTTTATCTCGTGGTAATACCCTCGTGATTTTGGTTGTAGGTGTTCTGGGGTTTCAAAGTCATATTCGTAGTTGCCCACCTCTTATCCTTCACCACACGACCACCTATCCTACACCACAACTCAACCTCATCTCCCAATCCCCTGCTTTCCTCAACAACACCAACAACAATAGCAGCAAATCAACATCACTCACAATACCAACATCACCCACAAACCACGCATTCCCACATCCAGACTCACGCAACCCCACAACCACCACCAATCTTAGCCTCCACAGTCGCCGCAACCACCAACTCCACCTCTTCACATCAATTCTCCCCTTCTCCACTGCTTTCCACACACCAAACAACCACCAGCAACCCCTGCTCCCTCACGCAAAATCGCCAGCAATCACCACCACACTCCCCTGATTTCCCTCTCCTCTTCTCACCTTCACGCAACAACAACAACCACCCAAATCACCACCAAACCACTCACCAATTAAACCCCTCAACTCACAGCAACCACAAACTCCAGCCGTGTCAGACCCCCATTTAATCCACCTCACGCAACCCCTCAGCCACCATAAAGCCCGAGCGGCTGCGGCATCAACAACACCTACTTGCACCACCTCCAATCAGCCACGCAACTTACAGCAACCAGCAACACCAACCTCTGCCACCTTCCCCTGCATCACCTCGCAATTATTCACCTCAAATTAACCACCGTCACACACTCACCAACAACCTCTAACAGAGCAGCCAATTTGCGGCCCCGCAGCCCTATCAGAAAGCGCGCAATTGGAATCTAAAATCAGAGTTGAGGCAGTAAGTTTGCGCGACCCTGTGCGCGACTTCTGTACGGGCGCGCAAATGTGGGTCAATCACGAGCTTTTCACGTGATTTTAATGAAAATCGGACGACTGCGATGTGATGATGCTTGATGATGATAATACTAATTGAATTTGGGGTGATGATGGTTGATGATGCGTAAATGGCGAAGTCCAAATATCAGAGCAACCACGAAGTGAATTTTGGGGAATTAGGAGTCTGATGCTTTTCGTGGGTTTACATCTATTTTTTGTTTTCCTTTTTTTTTTCTTCTTCTTTATTTTAGTTTTGTTATGTAATTAGTTTATTTAGTTTTCTTTTTATTTTCCTTTTATTTTAACTTGTATTATAAATACCCCTTTTGGGTTCAATACTCTCTTAACTTTCAATCAACATTTTATTTTAGATAGATTATATTAGTTTAGACTCTTTTATTTTCTCTCTCTTAGGGTTAGATTATGATTTTCTCTCTCTAGTTTAGGAGTAGTTGTAGAGAGAGAAAGCTTGGATTTCCATGGAGTTTTTGAGAGGTTGAAGAAGCAACTTTGTGGAACTTCTTATCATCTATTCAATGAGCATTTTCTAACTTTCTCTCATCTTTATTTCTTTGCTTAATTCTTTGTTTTTGCTTTTTTTTTTGTTGATTTGAGTAGATTAATTAGTTTGTTTGTTTAATCTTGTTTTTATTCTTATTTTACCTTGTTTTCCATGTCTTTCTTCATTATGTTAGCTTAGGTCTTGTTCTAGGGAATTGGATGAAGGTTATATTAATGAATTGAATGGTTGATTGTGATTAGTACTAAATTCTTTCTTGATTATTGTGTATAGGTGATGCTTTTATGGATTAGAATCTTTCTAGCTAATCAATTCTATGCTCTTAATTGTGCTTTCAATCAATTGTGCGAGAGTGAGTTGGTTGAGAGCCCTAAATTCTTCTATACCTTTGCTAGGCTAGTGCTAGTTCATGAGAGTGAATTAGTTTAGTAGGATAATTAACATGCTTAATTGTGCGAGAGTGAGTTAAGTGTGTTGATGTTCCTAATCGAGGTCATTTTCATCTATTTGTATGATGTTGTTTAATGCATTGATGTGATTGGATTCCACTTTCCCTAGTTTTAGTTATTTTCTCTTAGTAGTGTTTGGTTTAATCTCTCCCTATTTCACAACCTTTCCTACTAGTTTAATTTGCACAAATTGATACACTTAGTCTTCGTGGTTCGACCCTTTACTTGCCACTAACTAGTTTAGTGTAGGTTTAGGTATTATAAATGATTAATTTGGTTAGGGTTAGTAGACCAACGACCTACTTCCACCCTCGATCACATACCTCACCTCAGAAAGAAAACTCGCAAATCTAAAGCCTCGCTCACCCCTGCTCACCTCCTTTAGTTTTCCTCCTTTTATCTCACTTAAACCCTAAATAACAAACTCATAAATTCAACTTAACCCTTTAACTTGATCTTATCCCTTCTAAACCCCTTGGGTCGCTCAACGGCACGCCCGTCTACCCTCTCGAAATTTGGGTAACCCTCTCGGACAGCCACCCTACCCCATCAGCCTACCAGTCCAACCCCTCCGACAACCCTCGATGTGTGCACCCTGCTCTCTCGACCTCTCATCTCTCTCTCCGCGCACCAGGCCGAGAGCTCAACTGTCTTTCCCTCAGCGGGTTCGCACCTCTCGCCCCCCTCAGCAACTCAACCCCCTCGAATCTCATGCCAACCCATCGGATCCGAGGAGTAACCACGTTGTCCTCCCTACCTTTTCACCCTCTCAGCCACACCAAAGGCCCTCGGCCAAGGACCGCCTACCCTTCCAACCTATCAACACCCTTGGCCTCACTCTCATGCATCTTACCCCCCTTTCGGCCCGGGGTAGCATATGGAGAAAGCTGGGCCATCTCACTCTTCTCTCTCTCCTATCCCTTTGGTCATGTATCCTCAGCCTCACAACGCTCCACACCCCGAGTGCTTGGCCTAATCTACCCAACCTATCACCCTTACCCGAAAAACATTCAAGTTAAAAAAAAAATAAGTACAAAATCCAAGTCAAGTGCAGTCCAAGCAGAAATTCACCAAAAATTAGAAATTCAAGCAACCACAACCGAAAAATCAAAAGTTCAATACCCAAAATTAAAAAAAATCGCAGCTTAAATTCAAGGCATAAATCCAAAATAAAGGTCGAATTCAAGGAAGTCTCATGTACAAAAACGCCTATGTATGCTTTTTTATCTACAAAAAAAAATCAAAAGTGAAAATTTTTCACATACCTTTTGAAGATCTTGATGAACTTGGAAGAATTTAATGTTGTGAACTTGGGTGATGTGACTTGAACACGTACTCAAGTCTCTAGAACTTAAAAGAAAATTGGAAAGGATTTTTTTAGAATTTCTCCAAGGCAAATGAAAGAGTATGAAACAAATGAAATGAGGTGAGGGTTCATACTTTTGAAGCTAAGGAGACTGAAGCTCCTCAAAAACCCTGCTCAAATGAGCCTAGGTGAAGTTTGAGCCTAGAAAATCGCCATTGAAGGATTACACTTAATTACAAGCTTAATTAGCATTGGACTATCATCAGTTTATCTCTAAAATCCCAAGCTTAGTCAAAAATGGAGACAAGACATGCCTTCAGCAAGATACATGGGGCTCAGCCTGAAGAAAATATTCTAAAAGGGGAAAAACCACAAGTTATCCATAAGCCGTCATCAAGCATAGCTCTCAAAACCGATCTGTCACCATAATTAAAGTACTTTCAATGCATTGCTTGGGGCTGGATTTAACCCTTTCAAGTCGCTTGGGGCGCATTTAGCCCTCGGGTACGCCTCAAAATCTACTCCATCTTACATGACAACTTCTCTCATCTTCATTCCACGCGATATCCGAACTTCATGCGATCTCGTTCCCACATCACGCGTGGGGCTAAATGTTTGGGCCAAGTCCACTATCCTAAGCCCATTGACCTAGAATTACAAAAATACCCTTCCATGATCCAGCCCATCATTAGTCACAGCAAAGTATGGATTTACCCCTAATCTGCCCAATTAAGTACAACTTCTGCCACCTGAAAGTACATCTTTAAATAGTTCTCCAATCATAAATGATGGTAACTTTTTCCTAATTCTCTAAACTTCTCTCTCTACTTTCTCTCTCTAAAGTACTCTCTCTCTACTTTCTCTCTCTAGAAAGTACATTCGCTGACTTAAGCATCGGAGGGGTTTTCCGGGTCACACCTTCGGGACAGTTAACCTTCTCTCTTTTGCAAGCCTATCTCTCGAACAACAAGGCGGAGCTGAGAGAAATTCGGACATTCATTGGACTAAGCTTTAGGACATCTTGATATCATTACCCTAGCACCAAGGAGTATTCTGTTTTCAGAAATAATTTGTAATCTTATTCGCTAATATGATGGAATGTTAACAATCTTTTATTTTGTCCATTGTTATTTTATTGTAACATGTATCTGGATAAATTTTCTTGTTTTAGGTGATCATGTGTCTTATAGACTTTGCTTTATTTGCACATGATTTTGTCCAATATATTTGATTTTCCCCCAACTACTAATTAATGAATAATGAATAATAAATAAGAAAGAATATATATATATATATATCTCAAAAGTGGAACGTCAAGTTGAATCTATACTAATATATTAAAAGGCGTTCCTAAAAACGTCTATGTGCCACGTAGACTCCTCATTGCGTCACTTCATATACTACCTCCGTTAATGGTTATCTGCAACTTTGGGGTATTATTTGTGAGATAAAAAATATTCTAAAGTTGCAGATAACCATTAACGGAGGTAGTACTCAATTCTTCAATGTGCCATGTCACCAACTCAATTCCTCAAAACCCCACGTCACCTATGCAACCAACAATAACATTATACGATTCCTCAACTAAATTAGAAAAAAAAATATGTGGATGGGAGGTTGGAACACTCAACCTCTAAGAAGAAAAATCATTGTTTAACCATCTAAATAATTGTCAGTTATGTTATAATATTGCACACAAAATTATGGTATTACAAAAGTATTAAAAACACATTCAAATTATTAAATGTCTTTTAAAAAAAAATTAATTAACAGTTGCATAACTAAAAAAAAGTAGCAACGCGGGGCATCTCCTCAACTATACATTAGTTTATTATTATTCATAGTGCTTGACTTCTTGAATTTTTTACCTATCAAGGATTAGTTCAATTGGCTTTGTTTTTTTTTTTTTAATTCTAACATTGGCTTTGTTTTTTTTTTAATAATTCCCCTATAATGTGGGGTGAGTGATTATTTCAGTTGCTACCCGTGTCTCTGGCGGATCTATAGAGGCACAAAGGGTAGCATGTGCTACCCTTTTAAAAATATATAAATAAATAAATAAATAAAATAAAATAAAAAAAGGAAAAAAAATCAACGGTAATCTGCTATTCGGCTTTCTCTTTCTTCACAAAATACAACCCTAAAACCCCTCTTCGCCTCTTTCTCTCTCTTCGTCCCTTCTCCTTCCTCGGTACTCCAATCTTCAGATCCGGCGACCGGCGACGGCTGGTCATCTCCTATTCTCCTTTTTGCTTTGTTGAAGACTTGAAGTTCCTCTTTTCAAGTTCCCTGCTCAGTCACGGTCTCACAGAGTCACCGATTCACGACCCAAGTTCTTCTCGGCGGCAAGTCGACGACCTGACGGAGTGACGGTGTTCAGGGGGTGCTCACTGTTCAGTGTTCTCGACCTCCAAATCCTCCAAGGCTCCAATTAAGGTCCCCTTCTTTCCTTTCTCTTTTGTTTTAAACTTTCTATAAGGTTCTGTTTTTTATTGGTTAGAATTTGAGATTTTGAGTATGAAATTATGAATTCAATTATGAATTGAAATATTGAATAATTGAATTGAAGATTTGAAGTACTGAAGTATAATGTTGTTGTTTGCATGTTTATATAATAATTGAATTGACCAAATTTGCTATATATGTTGAATTGTTAATGAATTTAACTTGCTGATTTATGAATTGAAGTTGTTAATTGTTATGTAGATGAATTAAATTTGCTAATTGCCTACTGCTTTACTCACTTACTGCCTAGTTAAAGTTCTAATTTATTTTTTTTAATTCAATTGAAGCTGTGTGTAATGATTATTGAAGTATTGAACTTGCAAATATGATTATAATAATATATGTTCTGATAAAACATAATAATGTTACAAATTTTAGAAATCTAATTCAATGAAGAGATCTCAAGAAAGAAGTATTTCTAGTTTTTTTTTTTCAAAAAGAACACAAAGAGAACCACCTGATAATCATCCTTCTAACCATCAAAACCCACCAAATTATGAAAATCCCCCTTTGTTTCATCAAAATCCACAAAATTATCAGCCACCAAATTTTGTATTGATTAATTTGTCTTGACTCATTTTTAACTTAGTATACGTTGCGCTACCCCTGTCCCCAAATCCTGGATCTGCCTCTGGTGTCTCTTAATATACTATTGACCCCTTAGATTGTTAACGAGAGTTTTACTGGCAAGTTTGAGTCTATTGGTGCTCCACTTTTAGCTAGACTCTTTTGTCGTTGCGTTAGTTGTTCCTAATGCTGCTTTGTTGGGAAACCATTGGGTCTATAACTGTATGTATACATTTTACTAGTAGATATTCTAATCAAATATTCATTTGTTAAGTAAACGGATAATTATGCCACAACTATAGTTTATCTTTTCCTGTTTCGCCTGCTGATTTTAGGGGTATCATTAATTCGCCTTATCGTATGATTTTTATTTTTATTTTTTTATTTTTTTGTTATGTGTATGTCATATGCTTACTATAATAATCTAAGAAATTTTCAATTACTTGTATTATTATGAATACAATAATACTATAATAATTCAAGAGCACTATAATATAATATTGCTATAATAATCTATATGATTTACTATTATTATGAATATATCTATCTATGCTTGCTGCTCAAGGAGCCTGTCTAACTTTGATAATTTTAGTGATTTTTATGAACATGAATTATATTTGTGGACTAAATTTGTATGGGAATGCAATGAAATCTTTGACGATGATCGTAATATATCGGTATTTTATGAGCGAGATTATTTTTTTTTTGAATAGCAAAAATATTTCATTAATTAAAAGTCATATGACATCTACAATAGAGATTCGACGTTAACAAATACATAAGATATTGAATCAAATAGAATTTTTCTTCATAAAAACTACGATGGTCGAGTAGATCTTGCACTGCGAAGCATCTCCCACTTATATCGCTGAAAATTACAGCCTTGTTGGAGAGACAATCTAACGATCCTTTGTAGCCGTGAGGATTTTTCCTTCTGATTCATCTGTTCGTATTCGAAAACTTGATAACTTTTTCACCAACGAAATAATTTCACGATAATCCATTAGATCTGCTACCATGGATTCAAAACTAAGAAATTTCTCCCTCGAAAAGTGGAGATAAACCTTGTCTTTTGAAGGAGGTCGAAAAACCCTTGTCTTTCGAATGAGATCGGAAACCCTTTCTTTAGAGGGAGAAAAGTTCCTCCCAATAGGAGGAAACATTATTATAAACCTAAAAAAACAATAAAGAAACAAGGATTGGGGCTTTCTACCGATTAAAACCGATGGAATCCCCTTCAAAATTCAACAATGGAGGCTAGTGTTTAGGAGAGAGAAAGGAGGAGAGGGAAAGGAGAAAAAAAAAACAGATAAGACTGATTTATGAGCGAGATTACTTGAATTTGGGTGATGATATAATTTCATTGATCATATGAATTTTTGTTTAAAGATATTTGATGTCATATTGAGAACTTAAATTTATGATTATAATTTGGTTCTTTGATGATATGTAGCATTGTTCCTAATTACCCTTATGAGTGAGATTGCTAATATTGGTATGATGTCATAACCTCCATTAATTAATGTGTGATTCTATAAACACAATGAGTTATAGAATCATGACGTTGTGAGCAACTTACTTAAAAATATATACCTATATTATTATGCCCATACTCATAAGAAATTAATATAATTGGGTAAGAATTACGAGTTAGAGTTTATACGAATAATTTTATGATATATGCATGGCTAATCTATAACTATTAAAAGTGAGAACTTGGCAAGTTGAAAAATCCTTAGTAATAGTGTGGTGACTCTTTTGCCCCTCAAAATATTCAATTACAGTTTTGCCCCTTCTCCTCTTTTTCACCTTTTGTTTTCCCCATTATTCACTTTTCCTCTCAGCCATATGTTTTCTGACCTTCATTATTCACCTTTCAGTTTTCCTCCTTTCTCTCCTCTCTTTTCAGGTTCATAAGTTTTTTTCCCATTTGGGGAAATCTAGAGCTAGGGTTTCGCTTGTTTCTTCCTCTGCTTCTTCTCACTCTCTCACCATGGCCGCACTCGCAGCTCATCTTCAATTCCTCTTCTTCGGTAATCTCTCGCTTTCGCTTGAAACTGCATTTTCAGCATTTTATTTTTGGATTAATTTGTGTTTTTTGTGTTTTGCTAAGGATGATGATTCTTCCATCAGAGTTTCGATCTCTTCTGTTACGGTTAGGGCTTTTGATTGTCTTTCGATTATGTTTGGATTACTTGAATTCGATTTTGTGATTTTTGCGTGTTGCTTGGATATGATTTTTGATTTTGTTATTTTATGAAATGTAGGATGTTGGAGGAAAATCTAATCATGATATTTGGAGTCTAGAGATTCTATAGTTTTCTATGGTTGTAGCAATGGCAGCAGTAATTTCATTTCTTTTTATTTCATGCCGATAAATTCAGTTTCTATTATTTGCGGTGTGAAGTAGTTTCCTCCTGTTTCTCTCTGAAATAGGTAGAAGAAGGAAGATGGAGCAAGGTGCTCGATTCAAGTTTGAGGTGAATAAAACTCAGGTAGTTCGACCTGTTTTTTGTATTTAATTTCTAGAATTTTTTTTTTTCCTGTTGTTGATATTTGTGTTTTGTGGATTTGATGGAATTTCACTTTGATTAATTGAGAAACAAGATGAATTGAAGTTATGCAATTTTTTTGTGAAATTCGAACAGATTTGTAGGTGGCTTGGCGATTTTTTTTTGGGTTTGCAGCAAGATGACGAGACTTCTTTAATGGAAGCAAGAGGTTTTTTCTGGGCTATATCTGCTAACTTGACATCTATGTGTATCTAATTTTGATGCTTTATTGTTTTTATTATAAATTTTTTGATGACATGTACTCCACTTGATTGTATGTCTCATAGCTCAATTAAATTACCATTCTTTAGTCTCACTGCATTGCACTATTCTGGCGTTACCTAATTGCCGGGACAAAATGGGGTATGGTATGCAAATCACTAATTTTTCATCAGTTTTGTTATTTGGATTACTTTTGGATTGATTTGATTTGGTTTCCATTTATTAGGGTTTTGTTTTTTTCGGATTTATTTGCTATTTCTATGCCAAGTTTTGTTGATTTTAGGATGTTTATTGAATTTGTGGATACCTGACTGAATTGAATGATGTGAAGTATGTTATAGTGAATTTGTGATTTGTTGAGAGCATGGGATGTTGATGTTCGATTTTGTGAGCTTGAAATTTGAATTGATGTTGCCGCTTTCGATTGATATGCAGTCTTTTGATTCAGTTTTTCTTATTTATATTAGCTTTGATTGATAGCTTTCATGAATAAATTTGATGGTAATTAATATTAGAAAGGGTTTGTCATTTAAATGCATACAAAGTTGGTAATTGAGTGCATTCGAATAATGGATGAATATTTGATGTTGGACCTTTGATTCTTTTTACATGATTGTAAATTTATAATTATCTTGTGGCCTTGTGATAATGATTGTTGCTTGGGGGGGGGGTTCCTCTGGGTTTAATAGGGTCAGCCCCTAATTTCGTTTCCATATTCTTAATTTTTGATCCGACTTTTGATTTTAATCTTTTGTTCTTTTCATCGTTTTATTTTTCAGGACGATGAGCTTTGGAAACAGTTCGAGGCTACACAAAATGAATGGTAGATATTCATCTTTTTTGAATTGTACTACAATTTTTTTTGTGCTATTGATGTGCTTATGTTGCTCATTCTTCAAGAACTGAAAATTGATGTCACATGCTAAGAGTTCAGACTCCCCACATAAAACATTCTAACTTTTATGTGTGTTGATTACTCTATTTCTATTTGAGTATATTTTGTGCGATTGCATCTATAGCTTAAGTTCTTATTTTATTTAAAAACTTCTATAAATCAGAATTTTCATATAACTAACAAGGGACATTTTGTTATTTCTACCAAGCATATAATCCAGGGTTGTGAAATTTTGGTGCCATGATTGTTTTACCTTCCCCCAAACCCCCAAGAAACTGAAATGAGACGACACTTCAGCTACTCTTAATTACTTTTTTTAGAATTTCAAATCTTGCTTCAAGAACCCAACAATGTCGGCCATGTTTGGTTGCTGAAGTTGCTGATTTCCCACCTTCTGATGATTCTGAACAAAACCCAGATGAAGAAACTGCTTCTACTGCTGCTGTTGTTGCTGCTGAAGAGAAGAAAGATCGAAGAAAGGCAGTTAGAATTGCGGGGAGAAGCTTGTTCGTTGGTCTCGTCTTTGCGTTCTTAGTCTAAACCTGATGTTCCTCAATGCACTAAAAAGGTCTCTTTCTTTTCTTTTATAATTTTTTTAGGGTTAATTTGTTGTATTTTTTTAATTGATATATTATTATATTTGCATTGGTAATGTTTAGTTTTTGAATTGGGGTTGAAGGTTTATAGTAGGGATAGCAATTTGTAGGTTTGATTGGATAATGATATTAATGCAAAAAGTGTCCTGTTTCTCAATCTTGTTTGAGTTTATGGTGATTTTGATTATGGGTGTATGAGGAGTCGCAAAGGGCAATTGTCTCTCTTTAGTTTCAATTGTCGAAAAGCAACTGCATACGCAATATATGACAGGGCAATAATGATAGGTCTTATGTTGCATATATACAGAAGGAAAGCAACTAATGAGAACACAACAATACAAAGTAGTATTAGAGATTTTGAGGTGCTTGAAATGGGAGAGGTTAGTGGCAGCACGTCAATGCGGGGAGTTTATTGTAAATAAGAAATTATTTTGTGTATAACTCTTTTCTGAATATCAAGTTCTTAACACGAGATCCATTGTGTTTTTTTAGAAGGTTTTTTCTCTCTCTGACTCAAAACTCATAGAGGTATTGTGTTCATTACTACTGGTGTTTTCTTTGACGAACAAAACTAAGCATCAATTTTGTGAAAGTTGCTTAGGTATTTCCATATAATGTGATGCTTTGATAGGTTTGATTTTGTGGGATCTTTTTCTGGGATGGCCACGATTTTCTGGTTACTATGGATAATACACAGCATTATTGTGCAAGATCGGAATTCAGATTTGGTTCTATTTCTCTCTCCCCATTTTTTTTCTTCTAATTTTTTATATGGATGAAGATTTATTCCTTGCAGGTGTGAATTGTGGTTTATTCTTGTCTTCAAATATATGGCCTAATGCTAAATTTATTAGCTAACATAATCTAAAACATGGGATTGGTTTTCTGTTTTACTAAAGTATGTTTTAGTATGATGTTGTGGTCAATTATATGTTCATTGATGAAAGAATTAGTTAAAAAGGCTGTTTTTTTAGATGAAAAAAAATTATTTTAGTTGATTATTTTAGTTAAAACTCATTCACTGAAACAAGAGGTCAGAACTCAAAAGTGAATTATGCTTAAACTTTCTGCATTGAGGTCCCTTTTCTTCAAAAATCCCTTTAACTGATTGTCGATTACTTATTTTCTGTCTTGACATTGTTTCTAGATTTTACAACTCGAGAATAGGTTACAGAACCAATTCGTTGTTCGGTGTGCTTTAGAAAATGCATTAGGTTCTAGAGTGTCCTCCTACGAGAAAAATGAACCTTCTACAGTCCCAAAGGTATGTACTACGAAGCATATGATAATCACTAATCAAAAGAAAACTCTCTTTAAGTTTGGTGCTTCTGTGTGATTAGAACCTCTCTTGGATTGTATTATTAGTTTGTTGTTTTTTATAATTTTTCTTCACTCTATGCCTATTGCTTGGTTTCAGCTTGCAACAAATTTTATAAAGGAAATTGCAGTGCTAGAGTTGGAAGTTGGGTATCTGGAGCAGTATCTTCTGTCACTATACATTAAACGTCATCAATTTCTCCAACTATAAAGATTCAGAAATTATCCTCTACATCTACAACTGTCAGGGATCAAAGACTCAAGTCTCCTCTAGTTATTCCACGTCGACTTTTTTTAGATGAAGATGTAGCTGAAACTGCAACAAAGGTTGAATAATCAACATTTTAACCACGTTGACTATAATTAGTTTACTAGGGTAATTAGTTTGTTAAACAAGGGTGATCTATTTTTACCTACTCATCTTAAGACCAATGTTCTAAAGGAAAATGTACATAAAAAAATTCAATAGTCTAAAAACTTTTCCTAATTTTTTTGGTAAGGGAATAATAAATTAACTTAATTTCAAAGAGTTATATTTTCATTAATGTAATCAAGTAGTAAGAAGTATAATGCTTTGCAATGAGTTTAATTTTTTTAGCGTAAGTAATAAGGTGTTTGCAATTAGTTACGTTTTAAAAATTTTAAACAATTAGTATTGGATGCTTTAAAGTGTAATCTGATTTAAACTCCTTGTCACATACTCCATGTCTATATTCATATTGTAATCTTCATCTAAATGTCACAGCTTGTCACATACTCCACACCTGTCAAACGATCGTAGAGAAAGACAATATCACTCACAGCCACATTAACACAACCTCTTAATCGTGATTTCACTAATGTCAGATGCAATAATGATTTAACCATGGTACGCTATCTTATCCTCTTTCCTTACTTGAGGAGTTAATCGGTCATGGGTTACTTAAGTTACTCGGTCAGGGGTTACTCGAGTTACTAGGTAAGGGGTTATTTAAGGAGTTTGGGCAGGAGTTACTTGAGTAATTCAGTCAAGGTTACTTTAAGAGTTCGGTCAGGGGTTACTCGGTCAACGGTTAATTGAGGGTTCATTCAGGAGTTACTTGAAGAATTACTCAGTCCGGGAATAGTCGATCAGGGATTAGAAGATAGAGGAGGAGAGGAAGGGGAGAAGGAGAGAAAGGGATAGGGAGGTAGAGAAAGAAGGGCCAAAATAGATAGAATCATCGAGACAGAGAGAAAGGGAACTAGGAAAGTGAAGGGTTTCAAGAGAGAGATAAAGAGGGTTTAAAAGATAGGGTAGGCCGAAATTAGAGATACCGGTTCAAAAGAGATAAGGGGTAGTCTAGAACAAGGCCGGGAGAAAAAATGTTAGAAAAAATGGGAGAGATAGAAATATGTGTTATGAAGGAAAAAGGATGAGATAGAAAGAGGCTAAAAAAAGATGTAAGGACAGGAGAAATGCAAAGGGGTTGGAAGAGAAATAAAGAGAGTGATTAATAGGAAATATGACTGAGTGAAAATGATAGAGAAAGAGTATATGATATAATAATAAAGAACAAAAGAGGAGGCTCGAGGGAGAGGAAGAAAGGGAGTAAGTGCGACCTATAATTTTTTATTATTGTTTTATCTTTTCTCACTTGTTTGAACTCGATTTTGTTTCAACATATATAATCAAACAACAACTTTTTGGTATAGCAAGCCACACCGTGTGGCAAGGGTTACCCGAGTTATTTTAATAGGGGTTATCCGAGTTATACATTCAAAGGTTACTCAAGTTACTCGATCAAGGATTACTTTTCTGGTTCACATAGGGGTTGTTCAAGAGGTTCACTCGGTTAAGGTTACTTGAGGGATTACTCGATCAGTGGTTACTCGAATTACTCGGTCAAGGGTTACTCGAGGAGTTAATCGGTCATGGGTTACTTGAGTTACTTGGTAAGGGGTTACTCGAGTTACTAGGTAAGGGGTTATTTAAGGAGTTCGGTCAGGGGTTACTTGAGTAATTTGGTCAGGGTTACCTAAAGATTTTGGTCAGGGTTTGAAGAGAGAGACAAAGAGGGGCTAAGAGATAGGGCAAGCTGAAAGATAGAGATACCAGTTCAAAGGAGATAAGGGGGGGTAGAAGAAGGGATAAAGGTCGGGAGAAAAAAAAGTTAGATTAAATAGGAGAGATAGAAATATGGGTTATGAAGGAAAGAGGATAAGATAGAGAAAGGAAAAGAAAGAGAAAAATTGGAGCATCGACCATACAAAAAACACAATTTAACCTAAATTTAAATGCACATTGATCATTTCCGACTAAAACAATTCATAATTGCAAATATAAATCATCTTTTATTTATTTGGTATAACAAAAAAAAAAAAAACCAATCCATTCACATAAAATAGAACGACCCATAATTAAATTTCACGTTATAATTTCTTACTACATAAACAACGACATTACTAATCCATATATAACAATAACATTATATTTGTAGATACACCAAATAATATGTCAAAATACAACAAATTAATTAGCTGATTTGCTTCATCTTCTGATAATTGAACAACGTTTGCTCTGAATACTCTCTCGTTTGGTAGGGTAGTTTTCCGCCATTGATGCTTTGCTTCTCCATCGTCTATTAAAGGGAGTGAGAGCTGATTTTGCAGGAAGTTGACGGGAAGACACGAAGGACTATCTGAAGGAGTTTCAGCCTAGGTATAATTATTGTGTATCCTTAATTTGATACAACAATGCAACAACATCACTATTTACATAATTAACATACACATTATAAATTATTGCTACATTATGAATTGACAAGAATACACAATAATTATACTACACGTTATAAATTATTGCTACATAAACAACTACAACTTTATTAATCTATATATAATGATAACATTGTATATATAAAATGCAACAAACACTATGTCAAGATACAACAAATTAATTATACATTAACATTAAGCGCCAAACTAAACTTTTCTGATTCACCATACGAAGCGCGCGCATCGCGCGCGCGGGGGCTCGATAACTAGTATATTTTAAAAGGTGGAAGAGATATAAAGGTTGTTGGATCCATTTTATGCCTCATATGCAAGGATTAGGAGGAGACTGTATTTATTCCATTATATTATGTAATCCTTTCACATAAATAATAAAATATGTTAATGGCTGGTTTGGTACATACATTAACTTAAATATCAACAATGTATTTGATAAAAGTGGCCACATGTTAATTAAATATTTTGAAATGATATCATTCTGAAGATGGATATAAATAGGTGTCATTAATCATATACTAGTGGTAAATGCTCCAATTAAAATTGGTGTCCGAGAAGGAATCATCACTGAAGAATGATATATCAATAGATTCTAAAGATAATTAAGTATCTTTGAAGAGGAAAGGAGTCAATATTGATAATGATAAATTTGACAAAGTGTTACATTTCTAGAAGAAATCAATTCAAGTAAACTTCATATATTCCATGATTATATAAAACATTACAAAAGTGTGTAAAATACCCAACAAGTTTAACATGTATCAAGATTATAGTCAAAACTCCAGTAGAGTATGAGTAAATTATTGGATAAAATATTATTTATTTGTCTTGCCAATTGTATAAAGAATCACATGTTGCTATTCAAATATCACATAAAATTCATGGCCATGCATAAAGTAAGTTTAATAAAGTGATCACTAGCTAGTGTTGGAAAACTAACCAAAGTTCAAATTTAGAGAAATGATTGGATGTGATAATTAAATTAGGCCATCTGTGTTTAATAATTACCCGTTATGGAAACCTGAAGTTTCATTTGATAATGTGCTGACGCTCTTTCAATGTTAGATATATGAAATAAATTGAATGGAAAGACATAACATTGAGATTGAGCCATATTTGGATTTTGATTCATAACAATTTTTATTGATGAAAATTTCAAGAGTTGAGATTGAGCCATATTTGGATTTTGATTCATAATAATTTTTATTGATGAAAATTTCAAGAGTTAATAGGTTTTGATTTATATATATATACACGAATGAGTAATGGGTGTGTAGACACCTAAAAATGTCTCCCAAAAACCAAACGCGACGATAAGCAACCTTTCACCGCCATTATTGATCGGGTTGAGTTTTTAATCTTTAGAGTGCTTAAATCCATATTCAATCCCAATACATTTCTTAAATCAACCCAGTTCTCATTCCATTTCTCCAAAACATAACTTATTTTCCTCTTTTTGTGCCTTTAAACCCAAAATAATTCATTTCGTGTCCTTTAATAAAAACGTTTAGACCTGTTTAATTTGGTCCATGATCTGGGTCCAATAATTGAATAGTTGGATAAGGTTTCAAAATATCTTTCCAATGATATATTATAAGCCCAAATCCGAGTTATAATGAATAAGTTATTGTCAAAATACTAAAATAAGCCTAAACCGAACCTAAGCCCACCTTACCTACGACCCAATGATCATGTGGAGGGTCCGAAGAATTTAATCCCTTCCTAAAACAATTAGGATTAATTGGAAGCTTCTATAAGTTTTTAAAAGATCTTAATTATCCTTTATGAAAATATAAGATTAAAGAGTTTGAAATTGATTGAAACTTCTCTTTTTGAAAGTCCTAATTCTATTCGAATTGAAAGACGTTCAAAGATAGTAAGATATGATTTTTTTTCCTCATAGTTTTTATCCAAATCTTAAATGGTTGGATAGGCCTTGAAATTATCTTTTTAATGATATATTATAATATTACTTCCGAGCTATAACGAAAAAGATATAAAAGAAATACGAAACTTTATCCAAAACTGACACCGTCCTACTATTTCGTCCATATCTTTTATTCTACAAACTATTTTAATATTATTCTAATTGGTATAGAAAGTAGACTTCAATATATTTATAACGACATATTATTTATCTTATTTCGATTTCTGGATCAAAAGATATGATTAAAAACATAAACCACAAAAACTACTGTCTATCGCAAGAGTTTTATTCCAATTCGAATTCGGATTTTATCTTAATTCTTCGACCCTTCTTTTTTATTTATAAATAGAAGTCCTATCACCCTTTTTTCAATCATCAAGAAGCTTGATCACAAAATCATTTTCTTCTCTCTTTTTAGCCTAAACACTAGCTTCCCTATTCTTCCATAATATTTCCCCTAAGCACTCCAAGAAGTCTATACAATACCCGAAATTCTATACTTAAACCAAGGCATGAAAGGTATAATGAACTGATGGTTTGGACCAAATCAACTCTACTTTTTATTTAATTTAATTTCAATTTGATTTATATATTTATTTAAGTTACTAACAGTTTATTCATGATGTAGCAATTCAAAGAAACGCGAAAAGTGAATAATTAGTCACTTAATTACTCTTTTTTTTATTCTTGTTGCTAGTATCATGATTAGGTTTATTATGATTTTATTTGACTAACAATTTATTTTTGATTTGCTTCCAATATTCATGTTGAATTTTACTATATTTTATGATCACCATATTGCATGTTAAAGAGAATACGTAATCGAAAATCACTCCTAATATGATAATTTGGACGACTGGTTAAGGT